AATATTACCACAATTGTCACTTTTATAAATTCTTTTTTATATTTCTTAGACCTTTAATTTTATTGAGAAAAAGTTCACATAATTAGTAAAAACAGTAAATTTTTGAACCCAGATTACGGCCAAAATTTAATTTTTTCTCAATAAAGACAAAATTACTGAACTACAACTACAAGCCAAACAAAACAAGTACGAACTAATCTCCATAACTGAAATTCGGTTCAATTCTACTTCTTCACCATCAACCAACAACTGTATGCTAGATAGGAAAAATAGAATAAATTGTGGAGGTTGTGGAGCGAAATTTTTTAAAAATAGTATGATAGCAAGTAAACATGGTGCAGCTAAATTTTAAACGCAAAACTTTTGCAGTGCAAAATAATAGATTTAAAATGCAAAAAATCTGAGTATAATTGGAAAAAATAAAAAATGAAATAAAAGAAATAAAGTTATCATCAGAAAAATTTCTATTAGGTTGTATTTATCACTTTGGTTGCTTGCATCTCTTTTTTTTTTTGATAATTTTTGTGATTCAACCTTTGCTGCTGTTGATTTTCGGTTAGCTACGAATCGCTAACAGTCCTCACAATTGAAATAATTAACAATAATTTTAATAACATCTAACTACTTGTTAAAGACCATCTGATTGTTATATGCTCTATTTTTTTTTTTTTTTTTTTTGAGCCAAGTTTTAGAAAGAAAAAAAAAGAAAAACTTTTTTGTTGTTTGAACGACATAAAAGTAGGCATTACCAAAAATTACCAAAAATGACTATTGAAATTACCATAATGACAATTTTTCAAACATTGTAGATCATTCCAATGAAGAAATAATAATGGGAAAATAAAAAAAAAGCTAGCAGGGTTAGCTTTTTTTTCATTATTTTTTTAGCATTTACAATATCAAAAATTACAACAGTAACTTTTCTTAAAATATTGGAAGCAATATCAGAAATCTAAGCAATTAGGAAAACATTACCAGTAAAATATTTCTTAAGATCTCCGTTTTTAATATACTATTATATATATATAGACTTCATAAAACGCTGGTTATCAACTCTGAATTAATTTTACTGGTTTTTAATTATCTTTTTAAAATGGTTTTCTCGTTTTTATATATACTCCAAAATCTAAACAACATGCATTATTTACAATGCTGACCATAATATTATCAATGATTTTTATTATTTTTTAATATTAAGCTTTTTTAATTTCTTTATTAAAATTTTACAAATTAGTAAAAATAAAAAATAAAAATAAAAACTGGGTAAAAATTTATGACCAAAAAACATAAACAATTAAAAGGTTAGAGAATGTTAAAAAATGTAATGAGCTTTTGATTTCATTAAAAAAAAAAAAAAGTTAAAAAATTTTATTCGTCTTTTCTGGTCTTTTGGCTCCAGAAATAACATTCTAGTGTTTTTTTGATTATATATAAATTCTAGTCCCTCTTTCTTTACAAAGTCTGATCACTTTTTGTTTTTGTATTCAATTTCGTAAGTCAGTTATATCTGCTAAAAGTTTTCTCATTTCCTATCCTAAAGTCTTGTTGTTTTAACAACTCTAAAGGCGAGTTTCCACTCATCCGTTTTTCAACGGGAACAGAAAAAATCACGTGAGCACGCATAATAAAAATTTTTATTTGTGCGAAAGAAAACTGCGCATGCTCACGTGATTATTTTTCCGTTCCTTTCCCTTTCCCGTAGAAAAACGAATGAGTGGAAACTCACCTTAAAGGCAACATTACGAGCGTGTTATTTTTTTTAAGTTTGAATATATCTTGTGTTAACAAAAAGGCATTGGCATTATATGGCAAAGGCAAAGGCATTGTACTTTGCTAATGGGAACGTTTTAGATGATAAAGTAATGTATAGAAAACGTAAAACATTTGATCAAAAGTCAAAACACCTCAGATTCAAAACAGTAACTTTAGGAAAAATTAAAGAAATACACTTACAATAAAAACTATGGAGGGTTTGCCACCCAGTGGGTACGGACGTAAAAAAGACTTCTTATAAACATCTTATACACGTTTTAGACATCTTTTGAACGTCTTTTGAACGTTTTGGACGTCTTTTAAACGTTCAAAAGACGTCTATTTTTGGTCCAGATCCCACTGGGCGGTAGGATGACTTACAATACAAAGTATAAGTTAAGGTACAAAGATCACACGGGTTATGATTATAGCAAAATCTATGTTACTTTTAATAGCATTTACAAGAATTATGAAGTAATTAAACTCGTTTAGTTTATAAATTTTTAAAAGCATATTGGATATTGTTGTCTTCAATTGAAAAAGTAAGCCAATGCACTGTGAAAAATAAAAGCCTGTTTTGGATCAAAAATCATTAACTTTTTTGTTATTTTTTTGGTAAAGATTATGTATTGAAACTTTGCACAAATGTTAAAAGGTATATGACGCTTCTAAGGAAATATTTTTTATTAAAAAAAATTTTAATATAAAATTTGTAATTAAAAATCAAAAACTTTAAATTTGTCATTTTTGCTTTATTTTTATTTAAACATGTTTTTTTTAATTGTATGAAAAAACTTTGAAAGCATTCAAACAGCAAAATAGACATAAAATATTTAATTGGAAAATATATTCATATTAAATTTATATATATATAAAAATATTTATACGAGCTTTCGGCAAAACGACAAAAAACAAACACGTACTTTTTAAACTTTTTAACAAACATTTTCCTTATAAGCCTTAATTGCTTTGTTAATTTGATTTTTTAATTGTTGCGTTTAGTTAATAAATTTGCATATATTTTAACATTTACATTATTATTTATAAAAGTTTATAAAATAGAAATATTCAGAATAGTTTATTAATAACGACTTTTATACAGTGAATTTTTATGCAACAAATTATAGGTCGACTTTCAAAAGCTGCAAAGTATCTTCATCAAGTTCTTGGACATTTTTGCTGTACGGTTTTTTAATGCTGGTGATGTAGGAATCAGAAGTGTACAGAAGAGTATGAAAATTGCCTTCATTTGTAGCTAATCTAGAATATTTCTTGGCATGATGAAGGCGAAACCTTTTTTAATCTTTATTAAACAAAAACAAACATGCTGAGTGCTTCTTCATCCATCAGTAAACGGTTTGTGTTTTCCAAAAAACACGAGACAGAGAGCCTTTTTTTCTTTTTCGGCAATTTTTAATGCTTCTCCAAGCTTTGCTTCTGTTCCTTCTCCTATTGAACGTATTGCCTGAAGATATGCATTAAAGATGTGCTCGAGTCCAATTTCCTTAAATAATCTGGAATTTTTTCTTTTGGTCTCCATAAGACATGCACGGTCTTCCACGTTTTCCAAATGATGTAGATGGCGTCGGGTCTGTTATTGCGTTTTTCGATAATGGTAAAAATACATTATATTCAGAATCTAACCAATTGCTGTTGTTAGATAAAAACGCTTCAACTTTTTGTGACGCCTTAATCCATCGTTTATTTAACAATGGAATAATGTGTCTTTGAATATCACTAACGATGAAACACACGCTATCCTGAGAAACTTGATAATTTTCTTTTAAAATTATTGATAGTATCTTAATTGACCTTCCTCTATCAATGTAGGAAAGTAACAATTGACGTTTTGAACACTTAAAAGTTATCATTTTAAAAAGTAAATGAAGTATTTAATTTCGATTGTAAATTTGTTGCAGTGGTATAAACTTTCAACTTTTTATATATTATTTTTTAAATAATACAGTGTTCAAAAATTGCTGATAATATTTTTACCACAAAATAGAGAGCATGTCCATCAAAATTAATTCTCAATAAAAAAGTTGACTAAAAAGCTTTCGCAAAACTATTCTATTAAATAGTCTGAAAACTATTAAATAGCCTGATAATAAACTATTAAATAGTCTGAAACCACGATAAATAGCAGTTTTGAGTTTTCTGACTTTTATCACTTTTTTATCTATAATTTTGCAAACCGCACAAATCCGCACCTGATTTTTAACAAATCATTTTAATAGACACCTAAGCTACAAATCAATTATAAAAATGAAGCGTGGGGAAGCGTGGGTGACTTCCAAAAATATTGTTCAACTTTAAGATTTTTTATTTTCTAGCTCATTTAATGGTTCAATTAATAATTAGTAAACAAAATCATATAATTAAAAACATGAATTTGTTTTAAAATTTCCATAACACAATGCTTTCTAAACTATAAAGCACTTTATACTTATTCATAAAAAGTTTTATAGAAAATAGCTTTTAAAGTGATTAAGTAAATAAGTTTTAATTGAACTTTTACAAAAATATGAAACAGTAGGGCTTAAAAAATTATCTTTTTACATAAAATTTGCTAAAATCTTTACATTATACTAAAGATTAACTGTTAAAAAAAAAAAATGAAATTTGATGAAAATGAAACTTGAGGAAATTGAAATTTGAGGAAAAAACATTTATGGTACGTTTTTGTTGTACTATTTTCCACAGTGCAATGGCTTAAATAGTTTGATAGACAGTTTGAAATGTCAATTAGTTAACGGAAAATCATGGCGTATGCCATACAATGATGAAAAAAAAGTGTTTTAAACAAAATGAAATCATTTTGAACAATACACTATTTTAATACTTTGATAAAATATTCATAAAAAATGTATACAATGTATAAATTTAAAGACCCGAATCACTAGACTTTTAAAATGAATTTAAAGATGTTAAACTTAGATTTTAATTATAATTTTTTTAATTTTTTTTTACTTTTATTATATCTTATTTTTTTCATAATAAGGTTTTAAAAATTAAAGTATAATTAGAATAGAAATTGTTTGCAGTTTTCAAGTTCTTATACATTAGAACTCAATTAGAAAAATTAACTATTTATGCGCATCAATTTATTTGAATTTATCCCAGGTGTTCTAATTTTGAATATGCAGCCTGGTTTTTAAATAAAAACTTTAGAAGAATGTTTTAAAAGTTATTTTAAACTAAAAAAATTTGGTTGCTTGAATTATTAGTTTTCAAAACTTTTTATTTAGATTATTTGAACAAGAAAGCATTAAACATTTATACTAACAATGTGCAGTCTTTTTGGGGAAAATACGACAGCGTTGGAAGTTGTTGAAGGCATCAATTTAAAAGGGTATGAAGTAATTGTAACAGGTGGAAATTCCGGAATAGGTGTAGAAACAATAAGAGCTTTAGCAAAAGCAGGTGCCAGATGTGTTCTTTGTACAAGAGATTTGGAAAAAGGACAACAAGTTGCTAAAGAACTAATTGCTTCTACGGGAAATGATCAAATCGAAGTGGAGCAACTTGAATTAGACTCGTTAGAAAGTGTTGATAGCTTTGTGCAAAGATTTCTTGCCAAAAACAGGCCGTTAAACATCTTGGTTAATAATGCTGGGGTTATGGCGTGTCCTAAATCTTTTACTAAAAATGGATTTGAGACTCAATTTGGTGTTAATCATTTGGGACATTTTGCTTTGACCATTGGAGTTTTACCCGCGTTAAAAGAAGGCGCTAAACTGATGAATAATAAATCTAGAATAATTAATGTCAGTTCAACAGCGCATGCGTATGGAAAAGTTGATTTTAATGACATTCATTTTACAAAAGAGAGAGAGTATGAGCCATTTGTATCATATGGTCAATCAAAAACATGCAATTGTTTATTTTCATTGGCTCTGACAAAACGGTTTTTTAACGAAGGTATTGCGTCCAACTCTGTGATGCCTGGAGTTATCATGACCAATTTACAGCGATATATAAACACAGAACATTTAAAAGAGAAAGGTGTAATTGATTCAAACGGTAAACCTTTAATAAATATGAAATCAGTAGAGGCTGGGGCCTCAACATCAGTTTGGGCAGCAGTGTCTCCAGATTTGGAAGGAAAATCAGGTCTTTATTTGGAAAATTGTGCAATTAGTAAGGAAGAATCAAACATTGAAAAAATAAGGGCGGAGATTTTAGGTTACGCGCCCTATATTATGGATGAAGATGCTGCTGATAAACTATGGAATATTTCTGAGGAATTAATAAAGAACAAATCTATTTAAATAACATTCAAAACTTAACCATATTTAATCAACAGTATAACAAAATCTGTTTAAAATGCAATATTAATATAATTTAAGTGAATAAAGACACTTAAAATAATTTATTATAATTTTTTTATTCGTTTAATTTTTTTAGAGAATTTTACAAAAATGTAAAAAACTTATCAATAGTTCATCATTATAGTGCGGCAGATTAGCATAACAGTTGTGCTGAAGTGAATAAAATAATGAAACTTGTTTATACGCAGAAAGTAAGTATACAATGCATTTAAGGTATGGCGGCACGTTGAGTCGTTCGCAAAAATCAAAAAAAAGAATTTGCGTTAGTGAAAAATGCAGACCAGATATATTTCAGCACAAGTGCATTTTATAAATAATTTATATATCTTTCGATATATATATATATATATATATATATATATATATATACATATATATATATATATATATATATATATATATATATATATATATATATATATATATATATATATATATATATATATATATATATATATATATATATATATATATATATATATATATATATATATATATATATATATATATATATGTAAAACGACAACTATCTTTACTTTTTAAGAACTCTGATCTTTTTCATACTATTTACAATTTTTATACATTTCGTCAACAACAAAAGCTCCCTTGGGATAATTATGTACAAACAAAAGCAAAAAAGAAATTCCGACATACTTACACTAAGGATTTGTAAACGCTATTAAATTATAATAGCGTTTACAAATTAGCTATTAACATCTCCCCAAGAACTAAGTTCTTAAAGCAAATAGTCATTTAAATATGTCGGCCTTCTCCGTTCTCTAGTCGAACGTCTGAGCAACGGTAATAAATTATCCATGACTTCAATACCGTCATTTTCTTCGTCAGCAACTGACTCTTCATCAACTGACTCTTCAACTTCCTCGTCTCTTGCAATATGTAAATCGTCGAACTCACTTTTGTCGTTTTCATTTTCTTCAACACTATTCATTCTTGAAACTTTCTCACCATATGATTCAGGAATTATTCTCACGTCTCTCACATGTCGTGGTACACCATCAATTTCAATATTTGTTTTTGAGAGTACGACGATTTGGAAAATTGGTCACGCTACCAATTTTCCAAATCGTCGTACACTTTGCACCAACAGGACGAACATAAACTTGTTCTCCAATTCTATAGGTTGCCGAGTCCTTTTGTGGTCTTTCGTGACTTTCTGTGTTGTGAATAGGTAGACGCCAGACGTACTTATGTTTTAGAGAAGCAGGTGTAGAGTCTTTTTGCGTTCCAATCCTTGGTGTTGCATTATACCAAAATACCGCTTGTAACGGACATATCTGTGCTCTCGCAGATGCGCGTATTACTGTGCGGTGGTTACGCTCCACGATACCATTTCCTGATGGTCTATATGCACATCTATACATCTTTTGCACACACCATTTTTCACACATGTTTGACAACTCATTTGATCTAAACACAGCTCCATTGTCCATCAATAGTTCGTGTGGCGGGCCATGCTCTCTAAATACGGAATCCAATTGAATTATTATACTCTTTGTATCTTCGTGTAGCATCTTTCTCCATACTGCGAATCGACTTGGTCCACAGTCAATCATTGTTAGGTACGGTGACCCTTTATAGTGAGTTACGTCACATGCAATACGATACCATGTATCTGGTACATCTAGCACTCCATGTTCCCATTTTATTGGTGCTGGATCAATTGAACTACATTGACAACATTTGCGCACACAGTCTTTAACGTCTTTTCTCAAAACTTATGGGATTCTTTGTTGTACTGTAAACATTGTTCGATTAACGCCAAAATAATGTTTTGAGTGACATTTACGAATTTCATCGGCAATATTTACCCCACATAATTCTTTAACATTTTTTCGTGAAATTTCATTTAACCACTTTTTTGAAACTCTTGTTAATACATCTGCTTTGTTTTTTGAAGACGGAACCCACTTTACTGTGATGTTCATACTGTATTCCTTTATTAAATCACGCAATAATAAAAGTCTTCGTTTGATTAGCATTTCTGATAGTCCATTTGACCGAACCCTATGACTTTCAGTCAGCGCACTTTTTAACCATCTATGAACAGTTACCGAGTCAATAAATATCTATAGGTTCTTGATATCCCACTTAACAGCTAGGTTTATTCCACGCACCAAAGCATCTTATTCAGTCATATTAATATGCATGACATCATTTGTACTTCGTAGCCATGCTGCATCCTCAACTATTACGCCGTTATTTTCGATAGCAACACCCATTGCAATACTACTAGCATCACACCACAATATTGCTCCATTTTGAATACCATCAGCATTCCATGCCCCTTTTACAGGATCACTAGCTTCTAAACGGCTCAATATTTCGACCAACCATGACTGTGCTTGATCTCCTATTAGGTCATCCCAAGCATCTCCTTGACTATAACGTTTTGTAAAGTTGCAGGCAATTCTGAGCCAGTTTCCAATTGGATAGTATCCAATCAAGTGACCACATATTGAAAACAATCTCCGACGTGTAATTTTTTCATTTTTGATGTCTTCTGACTTTGGAATGGTATTGCCGCGTTTCCAATAAAGCACTTTTTTATCGTTTCTGAATATTTGCAAACCCAAAACTCGTGCACTATCGCATTCTTCCGGCTCTTTTGTTAACAAACCATACCGTTCCAAGTGGTTTACGACATTTTCAACCGATGTCTTTTTCAAATCAACGATTATGTCGTCGATATAATGATCAGTTGCTTCACCAATACCTGGATCAAGACTTAGCACTTTTTCTAAGATTGACGACTGGGGCAGAATTTAACCCAAATCCGAGTCGTGTAAGATGGTATTGCATCTCTTTGTAGACTACCCTCTGATGCTTCCACAAAACCGGATCAATGTGTATTTGCATGTAGGCGCATCTGAGATCAAGCAGTGCAAATTTGTCACCAACTCTTCTCCATCTCCTCAATGTTTCATCGCAAGCATCACTTGAAGCGTTATGTGAATTAACGTATTGGTTCAACTCGCGAAAAATCAAGACAGGTCGTATCTTCCCTTTATTTTCTTATTCAACTGCCATTAAAGGGACAATCCCTTTTTTATTATTTTCATCTATTTTACATGGTTTCAGCCAACCATTTTCCACCCATAAGTCCATCTCTTCGTTAAATTGATGTATCAACTTGGGTTTTACTTTGTACTGCGTGACAAAGTTCTTCAGTTGTGGTTCATCTTGTTTCCATTTATATTTAGCAGTCGATTTCATGCCATCAAAAATAGCGTCAAATTCTTTGTCCTTTATATCAACAAATTGTTTTTCTGTGTGAATTGAAACAAAACCAAATTCAATTTTTCCATCGTATAGGTGCACTCCTCCACAACGATTAATAATATCCATACCAATAACAGCATCAATACCGTTAACAACATTTTTTAAAACCATTACGGATGCTTGTAGTTGTTTTCCTGCAACCATCAATGTCACTATAGTTTCTACCACTGTTCTCACGAGTTCTCCATTTACAGCCAGTACCATGAATTCGTTTCTTTTGACAAAAACACCTGCTTTTTGAGCCATTTTGTTTGAAATGATGGTTCGAGTACATCCACTATCAACCAGTGCTTTTCCTGCATATGTGTTCACATGCACACTGCATATCGGAAGCGCCGTTAGTTGTCGAGGGAAACAGCTGGCGCTGTAGGTTTCCCACTTGCGTTTCCCTGTTTCAAGGAGCAAAATCTTGCAATGTGTCTAGTTTTTCCACATCGAAAACATTGTATTCCTTCAGTAACAGTTTCTTTCTTTGCAAAACAGCTTCGAGCAACATGCCCAGGCTTGCCGCAATTGTAACAGTTGAATCGTGAAGCAGATTTTTTATTATTGTTTTTATGACTTCCAGAGATTGTAGTTAAAAGACATTCTTCTTTCGTTACTTTTGACAAAAGTACTCTTGTGTGGTTCAATACATCATTCAAGTTGATTCCGAATATTTTGACTTGCGATTGTAGCTGCTTTGAAATTTCACCAGGCAATCCAGTTATAAAAGCTCGTTGCAACAATTCTTCGTTTTCAACTTTGGCTAACTGCATAAGTTGACGCAAACTGGCCATATATATATCAACGGATTCGGCTTCGTTCCATCTGCGATCCCTGAGCAGCTCGTAGGCTTCGAAAAGATCGACCGCAAATGCATCCAACAAAGCTTTTTCGATATCCACGGCGGAGGCTTTCTCGTTTTTGCTAAGTTGTTCATACAAAGCAAATGCACCTCCTTCCAGAATCAACGTAATTATTAACGACAGATCGCCCATCTTTTGAAGCTCTCCGACCAGCTTGACTTTTTTCAGCCACACAACAACATCGCCAGACCCATCAAATTTTCCGATCATTTTTGCCATGGATGACATATTGCCGAAATAGCTTTTAAAACGACAACTATTTTTACTTTTTAAGAACTTTGATCTTTTTCATACTATTTACAATTTTTATACATTTCGTCAACAACAAAAGCTCCCTTGGGATAATTATGTACAAACAAAAGTAAAAAAGAAATTCCGACATATTTACACTAAGGATTTGTAAACGCTATTAAATTATAATAGCGTTTACAAAATAGCTATTAACTATTTTTGAAACTCTTATTAATACATCTGCTATATATATGTATATATATATATATATATATATATATATATATATATATATATATATATATATATATATATATATATATATATATATATATATAAACATATATATATATATATATATATATATATATATATATATATATATATATATATATATATATAAACATATATATATATATATATATATATATATATATATATATATATATATATATATATATATATATATATATATATATATATATATATACATATATACACATATATTTATAAATACAAAATCGCTAGTATGAAAGCAAAAGATGCGTAATATTGAATTTATACTATCTATTTAGTCTAGATGAGATATAATTATATATTTTCGCTATAGTTACCCAGCCACCTTTTTATATAATTGGGTTCTTAGTATCGACCTCTAAAATATA